CCACACCTGCCTCCAGAACACGGTCACACAGGTGCAGGGCCCTGCAGTGGCTGATTGTCATTACTAGGTTCTGCCTGGACACTCCCCCCACCCAAGGCCTGTGCTCTTAGTTAAAGAAGTGCTAAGGAGCTTGGCCACACCGAGGTGGACAGTGAGTGAGGCGGACCAGTCCTCTCCCCAGGGCTCCTTCCCTGCCTCCTCGCCTCCTCTCAGCAGCCAGGGTCCTGCGCGTCCATCACTCCTGCTGTCCCATCCAGGCACCAGGTCTGTGTGATGCCCTGTTGGATACAAGGTCAGCATTGTTCCATGAAGGACCTGAGCCCAGAAGTTTCTGGCTCAGTGTGACCAGGCAGGGTCCACTGCAGCCCCCCCAGTGGTCAGGCATGGGGTCCGCAGTCGGAGAGCCACGGGGACGTCCTGGTGGGTCCAGCCTCCCACTTCTCAGACTCCACCCTACAGTTGAGGCGAGAGGGACAGCGCATGCAGGGGTGGGCTGGCTTCTCCGACACAGCCACCTACAGGGACCCTAGCAGCTATTTTGATGTAACCATGGTATGGGGGTCACCAAGCATCAGCTGTCCCCAACCTGCCCATTACTGCTGCCACCTGAGAGATGACTGGGAGGCTTATGCCGAATCCTCCAGGGGATGGCCACATGGAGTCCTTGGGAACGGCCCAGGCACTCTGACAGTTGGGAATCAGATGTGTTCTCTCCACTCCTGGTTGCTGTTAATGGTGGCCATTTGGTCAGTGCCATAAACATGACCAAGAGGATGGTGTCAGGTATAGGAAAAGTGGTTCAGGCAAAAACATGTCCCTCTCCTAGAGAGCCAATTCTTGGAGTACCAGTTTTATCACTTGCAGCTTCCAAAAAATAAAGCAATTTTTATGGCCAAATAATTTTTGGGAAATAAGACAGGTCATCTGCTGCCTGAGTGACTTGCTCAGGATCGCTGGCGGTGGCTCTTGGCACAAGTGTTCAGGACCTCCCCCACCTGTCCAGTCAGAACATGGGGGCTGGGTTGAGGGGGGGGGCACAGAGCTTAGGAACCAAGGCCACTGACTAAGCCTCTGCTTACTCTGTGTGAAACCAGTCCTGTTTGTCCTCCATGGATCCTGGCAAAGGCTGGGGGACAGGGTTTGGTGAGGAATTTACCCACTAGCAGCCGAGGACTGCTCAGGAAGGTCAGCTCCTAATTGGGTGGTTATTTCTGCATGGTTTCCAACCTGGCACATGTGTTACCTGAGCCAGGGTTTGCACACTAGGGCTCAGTGTGGCCCACACTTGGGTTTTGTTGGGCCTGGTGTGTCCTTTAATTTGAATTACTTGCTGGATTTGACATGGGGTACTTTTCATAAATATCCAGAATTTAAACTTTTCTTGGCAAAAAGCCAGGGTAACCGGCTAGAAGCCAGGCTCGTGTCCACTCAGCAGGTGGGTTGGCGTGGCCCTCTTCACCTGTGCTCTTGGGGGCAGTTGGGTTCCCAGTGCTAATCTGGAACAGTGTCCATAGCTTTCTCTCTTCAGAGCTAGAATTTCCATGTTCGGTTTTGATTGTAATTGTTCCAGTTTGTGCACCTTGGCTGCTTATAGCTGATTTTTATAAGTGAATTTCAGGTGTGGTCATTATACAGCCTCTGGTCTCAGTAAGCGCCTGTCAGTCAGTGAATCGGCTCTGGGGCAAGCTCCACGCTGGAGCTTCCATGACCCACAGGAGTAGACTTCTCCATGCAGGTTTTTGCTCCTGTGAAGTGCCTTGGTCTATTCTATGAGGCATTCTGCATTAGAGCCCAGTTGGACAGCCAGCCTGATGTCTCATGTCAGCTGAGTCTGTCTCTGAGTGTCCCAGCCTGGCCTTCACAGTGTGGCCTCCTCCTCCATTGGGGAGACTGGCCGATCGGGGCAGCCTGAATGCACCAGAGGTAAGGGGCACAGTGTCCCCAGGGTCTTCTTAGAACCAGGCAGCATTTCCCAGAGGCAGGTGTGGACCTCTTAGCTCAGTGCCTGAATACGCTGCGTCTGCCTTGGGCAGACTGGACAGGATCACTGTAGGCTGATGGCTGCAGATGCCTGCTCTGCTCTCTCAGCTCCTGGGGCAGGCCTGGGCTCGCTGCTCAGGATGTCTTATCTCACGAAGCCGTCCCCAGGATGCCTCCATCCTGAGCCTCTGGCTGAGGTGGATTTGGTTTCTGATTGCAGGGATGAGTTGGCCAGTCCCTTGCTGGCTGCTGGGTGGGGACTGCTCTCAGCTCTGAGAAGGGCTCAGGAAGCCCCTCCCCAGCCAGCGGATACAGGGCCCTTCCTGCTCAGCCCAGCCCTGGCAAGGATGTTGCAGCCCCGACCTCGGCCAGCATCTCTTGGTTGGAAGCAGGTCTCAGGCCCCACCATGTTCCAATCACGGGGTGGGTCATTTGGAGTCACCTGTGTTGTGTAGACCACAACAGCACAGTTGGGAGTTGGGGTCAGAGCTTCTCACCAGACCAGATCACAGAGAGGCAGCATCTAAAAGAACCTTGTTATTTTCCTCTAAGAAGAAGGAGGGCTGATTGATTCTTGTGTAGCCAAGAACTGCACAGCCTGGTGACTTAGGCCCGCCACACCTCATCATCTCACAGCCACACGATGAGCCTTCTGGGCTGGACTCCACGGGTGGCTCTTGGCTGGTCTGGCCTGGGCCACTCACCCAGGGACAGTCCCGAACAGCTGCCTGGGGCTGAATGGTCTAGGATGGCACCCCAACACTTTCCTTGGTCTTTGGTGTTGGCCATGGCCAGTATCTGTCCATAGGGTGCTCACCCTCATGGTGCTCCCCAGGGCACCCCAAGGGTTAGGGTGGAGGCTGGATGCTTTCCCAAAGCTTTTCTTGGAGCTGGATGCATTGCTCCTGGCACTGTGGGTGGCACTGTGGGTGGGCAGAGGTCCCCCACTCACGTGTCTTCATGGGGAGGAGAAGCAGACCCTTAGTGGACACAAGGGACAGTCTGAGTCCAGGGAGTCTCTCACTGTCCACCGGCTGGGTCTGGAGGTACCTCCTGCTGTCAGGGTGACGCCTTTGGCCTGGTTAACCCATTTTGGAGTAGGCAGGACCACCCACGCTCAGCCAGCCTCCCCTGTCCCCGACCTCTCCCCTGCCTTTCCTCCTCCTCCAGGGCTTTATGGGGCCAATCCAGGATCTCTCCTGCTCTGGTAAAGTCGTCTTTCCATGCTTGCTTGCTAAAAAAAGAAAAAAAAAAAAAGTATTTTATTGCAACTTTACCCTGGAAACTGTTGTTCGGATGCTGCTGTAAAGTGGCCTCACATTCTGCAGCTATGATAAGCAGGGGGTGGGTTTCAGCCCAAGATAAATCAAAGCTCCGAGCTGCATTGTAAGTGGTGTTCCAGCCACAGCAAAAGCCCCGTCCACTGCCTCGGACTACCAGGCGGGAAGGACTCCCTTGTGTTTTATTGTGAGGAGAATACCAATTTACCATAAAGCGTCGACATCATATACAAGAATATGATTCTGCTCTCGTCTATACTGCTGTTTATTTGCTAGCTATCAGAGGCCTTCGATGTTTAGTTAACAATAATTTTGAGACTATGTGGACACTTATTTTAGAAGCGAAGCATTGAAGGCTCATCTCAGTCACTGTGGCCTCAGGGGGGTGAGGAGAGTGACTCGTTTAGTCTTCTTAGAGCCCTGGCTGGAGACTCTGCCGTCCCCTCATCTGTAGGTGGGTACTGAGATGTGGAGGTGGCATGTGGCATGTGGCATGTGGTGTCTCCTGGCTCGAGAGCTGTGCTAGTGATTTACAAGCAAGTGTAATAAATAACAGGCCTTCCCCTCCTCTGCAGGGATCCTCTTCAACACCAGAGTAGCCCTTACTGCGAATCCTGAGGGCTTTGACAGGAAGGCTGGGCCACAGGAGCCCTTCCATCCCCACATAGGCCTGTGAGCTGCACGAGTAACAAGCCTGAGCATACGTGTGGCCTAAACCAAAGCAGACCTGGCCCCGCAGGATCCTCTGGGTTCTGCCTCTCCCTGCCTTCCTCATGCAGGCGGTGTGGCCCATCCCGTGTCCTGTGTCTCTTCACAGATGAGCCACAGTGTAGGACTCAGAGAGGTGAACCAGCATGCCCAAGCCACACAGCAGGGAGAAGCTGTGCAGAATTTGAACCCAAATCTGGCCTTGAACCTTAGAGCTCCCTTACATCAGGTGCCACTGACCCTTGGTGGGAAGACACTGTCTGAGCCCAGGGGAGCCCCTCGGGGCCTGGGACACAAGCAGGGCAGCAGCCTGGAGGTTCTGTGTCCAGTGTGTGCAGCTCGGAGCCTGGGAAGGCCATGTTTGTATAGCAGGCTGAGATCAGGTGGGCATCACGGCTCCTGAGACCTCAGGGAGAGCAGCAGGTTTCGCTGGTTTGGGGAAGAAAGGGATGAAGCGTAGCCCATGCTCCAGCATTTCCTGGGACTCTCACCTTGGCACGGATGTGTGCATGCGTGTGTGTGTGTGCAGGTGGGTGCATAGGTGTATGTAGACGTGTGTCCCTGCACATGTTGCACACATGTGTGTAATATGTATGCACGTGCATGTGTGCAGGCATTTTATACAGATAGGTGTGTACACATTTCTTCCCTTTTTTGGGGGGACTAGGGATTGCACCCAGGGGTGCTTAACCACTGAGCCACATGCCCAGCACTTTTGATGTTTTATTTTCAGATGGGGTCTCACTGAGTTGTTCAGGGCCTCACTAAGTTGCTGAGGCTGACTTTGAACTTGCAATCCTCCTGCCTCAGCCTCCTAGTCACTGGGATTACAGGTGTGTGCCTCTGTGCCCAGCACACATTTTTTTCCCTTAATCCAAATGCTTGGCGTTAACTCCGGTCCTTCCTGAAGGTCTTTTTCTCCAGGGTGGGGTGGCAGGCGGGAGGGAGAACTGGAGCGAAAGCAGCGTGGGCACCTTCGTGAACCCCCCTCACGATGGCTCCCGCCCTTCTTCCCCCCTTTCTTTTCTGCAGGAGTTTGTGCAGCTGGCGAAGAGACTCATCTGTGATCCTGCACTGGAGAGAGAGATCGTGGCCCAGGGGCGGGCGCACGTGCAGAGGTACCACTCCTGGCAGGCGGAGAGGGAGACCTACCAGCACCTGGTGGGGAAACTGCAGGGGCCCCTGGAGGGCTGAGGGCCCTCGCCCGCCGTGCCTGCTGTGGCCACTGTGCCCACCACACCCACCATGCACTGCCATCCACACCTCAGTCCGTGCCCCTGGCGGGCACCCAGCAGGCCAGGCCAGGGCCTATTGGCCCTCTCATGGACTCACAGGGTCCTCAATGACCCCATGCCCAGGTGCGCCCACCTGGGTCAGCCGCTGGAGGTGCATAGTGACTGCCTCAGGGGCCAGGCGGGGGCTTCAGGAACTTGTCAAGAGAATTTGATCAGCAGCTTTGGGATTTTCTCGGGGATGGCAGAGGCTTCCTCTGAAGTGCTCACAGTGCAGACCCCGGCCCCTCCTCTGAGTGACCTGTGCTCATCGCAGCCCTCACATGCCTGTGGGGCCGGGCTGAAGCCACCCACGGGTGAGCCCTGGAGATTGCCACCAGAGCTCACAGCCTGAACTTTCCACCCTTCAGAAATGATGCAGGGGAAGGCAGACTGTGTTGCTAGAAGAGGCCCGGCTGCCCTTCAGGCCCTGCCCACCTCTGCTGCTGCCCACACATGGCCTGGAAAATATTTGGGTGGCCCTGAGTTGGTGACCCTTCTTCCCCTCCCAGCATCAGGGAGCTGAGGCTGAGTGACTGTAGGACAGCACAAGTGCACAGCAGACCAGTCCAGTTGTCATCATAATGTTGGCCTTCCTGGGTTGGCATAGCCTCTCTTGAAATAGTCTCCTCTGACCTTCAGCTGCTGGGAAGACCAGCCTGGGAAGGCATCTCCTGAGTGCTGACATCATGGCCACCCAGTGGACATCCCTTACCATCAACAGGGAGTGAACTGTCTCGTTGCTCCTCAAGAGTCAGAAGTTGGCAGCATAAGGAGAAGAGGACAGAGGACAGTGGCTGGGGTGCCCTCCTGGAAAGTGCTGGTGAGGAGCCTGCCTGGGCCCTAGATGGAGGCAGAGAGGGGAGGGATCAACACTGCACTACTCCAAGTTCAAGGGCACGTCCTGGACGTCTTGCTGCTCACCACCGAGAGGACAGAAGAGCCAGCATCTTGTATTCAGAAGGAGCAGCCTCCAGTCAGCGCCAGCCCGATGTCCTGGAGTGGACACCAGCCCGCTCTGATTCCACACAGTGCCATTTGGCCTTTCACCCTGCACCTGGGTCATGGAAGAGCCGCTCTCCAGGGAGGCGGTGGGCCGAGAGAACAGGGCTCTTGCTCCTCGGGCTCTGCATCAGCATTGCCCGTTTCCCCTGGGCCCACATGGGTACCAGGACACGCTTCCATGCCTGGCCACAGGGAGAGGGAGGGAGACCGGGCCTGAGCCCTGAGTCTGGAGGGAGCAGTGTCACCCTAGGGGAAAGCATGATTGGGGCAGGTCACTCAGCCACCGCACACACTGCTGCTATTTACCCAGTGCTGTTGGTCCTGAAGCGCAACTGTCCCCTCCCTGAGTAACCTGGAGGGGGCCTGGCCTCTGCCAGCCATCACCATGGAGCTACATCTTACCCAGCACATAGAGAGGAGGGGCAGGTTTTAGGTTAATAAAGTGTGTCACCATCTGCGGTACAAAACCAGCTACCATTCATTCTTCCTGTGAGCAGCCTTTGGCAGGAACAAGTCTCCCCCCCCCCCGAGGCCCTGCACCCCAACAGGAAGGACTGACACCCCAACATCTAATTTAGAGGAGTTAGAAATGCAGCCAGGTGTTTACACCACTGTGTGTCCATCAGCCTTCCACCACTGTAATCAGTGCTTTGAGGAAAACTTTATAAAGATAAAAATGTTTATTTCAGTCACAGTTTTGGAGGTCCCGGTCCAAAGTGTATGTGGAAGACCATCCTCCCTTGTACAGTTTGGGTAGAATTTTGAGAACATCTGAATTCTCAGCAGGTGTTTTGGCTTCAAGTGGTCATACCCCTGTGTTGGGCTCTGTAGTATACTTAGCACAGCTATGTAACCTTTTCCCATGGAAGGTTCTTGATAGCTAAACCTGCCTCACCTGCCACATATCTGCAGCTCCCTACAAGGCAGGGACAGCATCTTGCTTTGCCTTCTGCTGCAGCAGAAGGCCCTGGGATGCCTATTGTATAATGCATAGAGACCTATTGGCTCCCAGGTCTGAAGGCTGCAAGTCCAAAGAGCTGCCACTGTCACCTGTGGTGGAAGGGCACAGCAGGGAGGGTGGGGGAGAGGGGCCTGAACTCGGCCTTTTTGGGGCTTACTTCTGATAATGACCCCACTCCCTCAATGGAGGCATTAGCCAATTCATGAGGGGGGTGGCCCCATGACCAAGTATCTCTGGTTAGGCACCCACCTGACCCTACTGCATCCAGGATCAGGACTCCAACACAGGACCTGTGCGGCGAGCTGGCTCTCTCCGGGGTTCCAGGACCCCCTCTCTCCTTCCTAGTTTTCCTCACTTCTCCTCTTTGATCCTGATGTCCTTTTAGAGTGTCAGGGGGCTGATGGGGGAGGACCACACAGGAGGACATTCCTGCCCAACACTAGCCCTTACCAGAAGGCCCACTCAAATGGCAGTGCCCAGCCTTGGCTTCATGGAATCTGGGTGGTGAGCGGCCCCCTGGACCAAGCACCTCAGGTTGCCAGGGCAGGCCAGGCCGAGGCTCCCCAGAGGTCCAGTGTGCAGTCCCCACGGCAACTGCAGGGTCACGCTATCCATGTAACTAGGAAGCAGAATTTCATGCAAAACAGGGATGTTCCAAGAAAAGCCCAGACTGGAATCCCCAGATTAATAAAACAGGTGAAATCTGTTCATGTTTAACCAGATGTAGAAGGATTTCCCGTGGCCCAGCCAAGAAGAAAGGAGCGACACACCGGGGCCTGTGGTGTCCCCGAACCTCGCTCTCCTTTGGTGTCTGCTGTCCTGCCCCGCATTCTCTCAGCCCAGCTGCTCACCTTCTTCACTCCCCCCAGCCTCACGCTGCCTGAGCCTTGCAGGCCTGCTGTTCCAGCGCCAGTAGCCTTCATCCTCCATTGTGTCAGGGTCAGCAAATCCGGTGTCCTCGGCAACATTTGTGATTTCAGTTTCCAGAGCACTTATGCTGTGTTGTGTTTTAACACCGAAAGTATCTGTAACCATCATAAGGACCAACTCAGCCTTGGTAGGGAGCGGGAGGGCTCAGGTAGGATTGCAGTTGGTCATGGCAGACAGGACATTACAAAATAGGCAGAGACTTAGCAAGAGACAAGGGCACCTTCTCTTGACTAGAGAGATTCACTGAGCGGGTGTGGTCTTCCTGGGATTAGAGACCCACCCTGCTTCTATTCTCTTCTTCCTACATCCTCAATAGGTGGCCATCCCTATCTCTTGGTGTAACGTGGCTGCCTAAGCTCCATCACAATGCCTGAATTCCAGGCAGGAAGATGGGAAGCAGGGACCCAAACACTTCTCCTCCCTTTTGGGACAGTAGGGAGTCTTGGGTTCTGCTGGGAATTAGGAATCTATAACTGGGAAAGAGGAGGAGGGTGTGGACTTCGTGGGGAGCTGTCAGTATAGCAGCCATGGAGATAAATGAGTGAGATTGCCGCAGCAGGTGCAGGAACCCTGGTTTGCATTAATCACAAAATACCTTTCAATGCCGTGAAGGGTTTCCATGGGGCTATCATTTGGCCTTTAAGGCCACACGACGCAGCTTGCATTTTCTTCCCAGGATGCTCATTTGTAACACCAGTTCTCTGCCAGCTGCAGGTATCGATTAGTACCTCAGACTTTGCAGTTTCTAAATTAAAAACCCAGTGTCACCTTAAATGTCCTTTGTGTCAGGCGGAGCACAGTGCTGGATGGCACAGTGAAATCAAAGCTCCTGACCGTGGGTAGAATTCTGTTCCCTCTGAGTGCTCCTGAGGCGTCCTGAAGGAAGAAGCCCACCGTTTTCTGAGTGGGTGGGTCTGGCCACATCAGAGTCTCTTCCAAAGGGATTCATGAGACAGAAGTCCACCAGCAGAAATCACTAATTTACATTAAAAATGGACGCTGTGGAGTTCCATCATGCCCAGAGTTTAGGTTCTAAACAGTATGTAAAGCTAAAACCTTGCAAGTCACAATTGTCCCTTCACTGCCCCTGGGCCTAGCATGTCTGATTGGACTCACGTAGCCCTGCAAAAATTTTGTCACCCCACACTTGAGAGTTCTGGAGCCCCTGAGCTCTGATGGAGAAAGATGTCCCAGGGCTTGGCCTTTCGAGCTGCTCTGTCCTGGATTACAGAGGCCCTGCCTCCTGGGGGTGTGCTCCCTTCCATGTCCTCACAGGCACTCCTAAGGTCATTAGATGGGCACATGTGGCAGGGCTGGGCCACACACCAGCTGTGAGGCTACAGATATATCAGTGAAGAAACCAGCTGCCCACCTGGCAGGGCCACCTCCCAAGTCACAGCGCGGCAAGACGATGCTCCACAATGGTGTTCAGTCAGAGGGCAGGGGACCTCTGTCTAAGAACTGGGGTCAAGGGTCAGGAGAGCAGAGCACCATTTCTCAGAATGCAGACTCCGTCCAAGATACCACGCAGAAGGGACTCTGCGGGCTCCCAAGAGCTTCTAGCCACATGAACACAAAGGCAGGGGCTGCTGAAGGGAATATCCTCATTTGTGCCCATGGCCACAATCTGCCTTAGATTATTTTACAGTCCACCTGTCCTTTCAGACCCATAAATAGTCCCTGAGAGTCCAGCAGGAGGGAAATGTCTTTCCACAAAACCATTCAGCTCTGCCCGATGGCACAGAGAGAAAAAAGAGCAGCCCCTTCCCGGGGAGGCCCTGAAGTCACCCCGAGCGTGGCAGAGCGCTTCACTAAGACAGAAGACTCACCTGAGCATCAGCGTTCTCAATGAAGCATCTGCGTTAGGAGGGGTTGAGTTTTTCTCCAAGTCAGAAGGTTCACAGTTGGACGTTTGCAAGAGTTTAGAGAGGGAGGCCCCGGGTGGTAGACTAGCATCCTCCTCGGTATTTGGTGCAAATACCTTGATTTTAGAGCTGTCTGGAAACAACAGCTTACAAATCTAAAGCTCTGAAGGATCTGGGGTGGCTAAGAGGGCTTCCTGCCTTCTGTTTCCCCAGCCTACCTCTCCCGGCGTCTAGTGAGTTTTAAGGCCGTGGTCAGTAGCATGTGAAGGGCCTTCATGGACAGAGCAACTTACAGGGTGTGTCTTGTCTGGCACTTTATTGAACAGGGCCGTTGCTCCAGTTCTGTCCAAAGTTAATGTGAACTGAACACCTACTTGGTGCCAGGTGCAGTGTGCAGAGTTGGCAGCACTATACGTTACCGGTGCCCTGGAAAACATTGGAAGCTCTGAAATGCCCCCATTCTTCTACAAAGGCTGGCTCCGAGGACCCCCTCCCTGGACAGTTTGGCTGAGCTCAGACTCTCCTGCCTACGACTGCCTGTGGCAAGGTCTGACCCACCCTCCTCCACCTCATCAGAGATGAACTGAACTGCTGTCCCCATGGCTCAGTCAGAGAAAAACACATGTCAACCACACTGTCCAGGCTGCTCTGTGCCCAGGCCCCAGAGCTCCACATGCCTGAGCCACAGGCACCCTGTGGTGTCCACAGTTGGAGCCACACTCCTCAGGAAGTGCCCTGGGCCATGCAGCTGCTCTGGCCTCATGTGCATGCCCACTTTCAGGTAAAGCCTGCCTGGTTTGGCCTTGGGCAGACTGCAGGTCCCCTGATCAGAGCACTCTAGATGGTCTCTCCTTGGACCCATCTCTCCTTGCGGAGCCTGGATTGGTTTTTTTGTTCGAGAGCTGGGATATCTTGATTGGTCAAGGACTCCAATGATGCCCAAGTAGCTTTGGAGAATTTCTGAGGTGCGGGTGGATCAGCACTGGAGCAGGAGGCACAGGGGGCTGGAGGGTGGCAGCTGGGTGGTGACTGGTCTCTGTCTCTCTTCCCTCTCACACAGGGATTAGACAGACACTCCAGCAAGTCACAGGGCCATCGGTCTTAACATCTGCACATTTTTTTTTTTTTGAGTAAGTTGCATGGCCCAGAGGTCACTGTTTGATGGAAGTAGCATAAGAGAGATTTTAAGTGTTAAATACAATAAGACCATTTGTTTTAGATCATTTTTAGTACCCTGGAAATGACCACTTTTTGGATAACCTCATCAATGCAAAATCTGTCCACTTGGCGATGTCAAGCAACCTCCCACGGGTTAGGTGCTGGTCTTCTCTGCAGGCAACACAAGAGACACATGCAGATAATTCACTGTGAAAATCCAATCTTCCTGAGCCTGTTGCTTTGGAGGGTGGAGGTGTTGCTGTGACCATGTTGGGATGACAAAGATTCCAATGCCCGGCCTTGGGTTTTGGAGGAGGCTTTTGAATGTCAGGAGAGAGAACAACAATTGACCCTGAAAACCAAAATCCTGCACGTTGCAGAGCAGGGTGATGGAGAGCAGAAGGTCTAGTGGCAAGGTCTAGTGGCATCTGCGGGTCCTCAGGGCTGGCATCTGTGCTCGCACACTGCAAAGGAAACCAAGGGGAGTTGGGTTAGCTGGGCCACCAGTGCCACCCAGGCTTGTGGGGGCAGGCGGGACGCCTGGAGCCCTGTGCTCCTTGCTGCCCTGCTGGGACAGTGACTAGAAGAGGTCTGGGGACAGAGGGCACAGCACCCCCCCCCCTCCTGGAGCTTTGGGAGGGTGGGCCCAGCAACATTGCTGCAGAACGGAGAGGAGTGGTGAGTATCCAGTCTGCTCCGAAGTACTGCTGGATCGGGAGTTTATTGGAGGCATCATGAGGCAGAGACCAGGGACAATTGTCATTCAATGGCAGTTTGTGACTCCCAGTTCCCAAGAGGAGGGAGCAAGCAGGCCCCACAGGGAGGAGAGGCAGGCATCAGACTCTATGTGGCTTCTAGGGAAGGAATGGGCAAGGCAGATCCAGCAGGCTTAGGATTGACAGGTCTGGATGATTCTAACCAGCACTGAGCACAGGGGCTGTCCCTGGCTGTACAGCCCTTGGCCTGGGGTATACAGTGGCCCTGGAAGTATTATGTTACCTAAAGCTCGGTCCTTGTCCCTGATGCCAATCCAGTGATGAGGACAGGATCTTAAGGAAAAAGAAAAAGAAGGTTTATTGCTTTGCTCACAAAGGAGAAGCACTGTCCCAGAGGCTGTGATTCTGCCCCTAAGCAGTAACAGGGGGCTTTTAAAGAAGTGATTCAGAGGCCATATTCCATGTGCTCTCTGTCAGAGTTGCCATTCACTTGTTAATTTGAGAGACAGTCATTTCTGAGATCTTCTGGTGCCACCCCCAAGTCTGGATGATTTCATTCTTATGGTGGGTGTGTGCTCAGGGACAGATACTCCTGCCTCAAACAGGGAAGAAAGGTGACCCCTTTCCCTGAGATTAGAGAGGGAGAGAGACTAGGGAGAAGCCTGGAGAGAGGAAGAGAAAGAAACTTGTCATTTCAAAAATAAATTGCAGAGGTGGAGCAGCAAGGGCCACATTCAAAGCAGAAAGTGGACATTATTACAGTTAGGGCAGGTGTGCAGCGGCCTGGGGGTGAATGGACAGGTGTACAGCAGCCTGGGGGTAAATGGGCAGGTGTACAGAGGCCTGGAGGTGATTGGGCAGGTGTGCAGTGGCCTGGGGGTGATGGGGGCAGGTGCTAGGTGGCCTGCAGGTGATAGGGACAGGTGCTAGTGGCCTGCAGGTGATGGGGCAGGCATGTGGGTGCCTGGGGTGATTGCGGCAGGTGTGTGGTGTTCTGGGGCTGTGAGGGAAGGTGTGTGAGGCCCTCCCTGCTGGGC